AACTACTTACTACTGCTCGCTACCCCCCTTCAGTCCATGCACTCTTCAACCTAAGTTCCTTGCCTCTCTTTAAGCAAAACACTCGCTAGCCCTTCCAAATCTGGCTACCTCTTTCACACCTGTAGGAACAAGACAAGTTTCTCAGCCGTCCCTTGCCCTGGCAGGCCTGACCTCTGCCCTCCTTTATACCAGCAGTGAACTTTGGAAGGCAGCTCTGCTCACTACTGTAGCCCAACACCATTGCAGACTTTGTACTTATCACAACTGGTACTTATCATAATTTCTTACCATAATTTGATTATGAGCCCTCTTGAAAACAGAAACTAAATCATATCTACCTCCCCACTTGGAAAGATTAATTTAGGCCCACTACAGATATTTAAGGTGTATTGAATAAAAATAAAACAAAACCTGGCCAGCACTGTGCTACGAAAATACAATAAAAAGCTATGTTCTCAATAGCTTATCACCTATTTGTTAAGGGAAAAGATAAGCTCATGAAATAGTAAGTTTTTTCCTAGAGACAGAGCAGTGACCATCAAGGAATCTGCGTTTTGAAACATCAATCAATGAAGGCCTCTGCTCCAGAGTGGAAACTATCTGGGAGTATACAAACAGTAAGTGTGTGTCTTCAGTCACTTCTGGAAACCCCTGGCTTTAATTACAATATGTCACATGACTTGAGAGCAATATACAACAAAGTCCAGCTTAAGAGCAGAGTCTATCTGGGGACATGTGTGGTCTATCACCCTGACTGCTTCAGAGAGTAAGTGCTCACTGAACTTGTGGATTGAGTAATCGAGAGATCTGATGCTTTTCCTTCTCCTCCTCTTCCTTCTCCTTTTCCTCTTCTTCCTCCTCTTCTTCCTCTTCCTCCTCACTTTCTTCTTCCTCTTCTTTTTCATTCGATGGTCTAGGTGTTTATTAGAAGCCTTGAACCTCCAGAATGTCTTTGAATTTTCTGGTCCACCTTCGGAGTGCTGAGATTACAGGCATGCATCACCATACCTAGTAATCTGGTATTCACACATCAAAAAATGTCTGTACCCTAAGGGAGGCAGGTATGTCAGGAGTTGGGGTCACCTAGAATATACACTCACACAAAAGCAATGATCTTCTCTAGGCCCCTAACTTTTTCCTGTACTTGGAACTCACTTGTCAAACAAGGTATTCTTGTTTCTTTTGGTGAAAGCAGCAAAAAAGGGGGAGCAGGGGATCTCTATGAAGCTATAAACTATTTCTCTGTATCCTGTCTTCTCTCCATTCCCCATGGTTCCCTGGCCAGGAAGGTTAGGAGTTCAAGGCCAGCTTCAGATAACATAGCAACTTAAAATCACTGAAAAGACACTGAAAAACAGCAACAAGAAAGAAAGTTGAAGATCTGTGGCCCTCAGAATAAAGATCAACACAGGGAAGCAAGCAGAGTGTGGCAAAATAAAAAGAATCCTTCATGAATTTTATCTCAGGAAGCAGACGCACACACCGACAATTCCAGGTACTCCTGAGGCAGGAGGATCGCTTTATCACAAGCTGGGTTTGCAACCAGCTTGAGGACAACAGAGAGACACTGTATGAAAAAAAGGGTATGGGAAAACTAAAGACAGAAAAAGAGCAAATACTGTTTACGGGCTCTAGAGTCCAGAAACGCTGTTGAGCTTAATTTACTTTTCTGGCATGCAATTTTGGATCAGGAAAATAAATGGTTTATGAGCAAAGAAAAGTATTAAGAAAAGAATGTGTCATCTCACAGTTACTCGTTCATTGCTAAGGGTTGTGCGGAATGCACAAGTGATGTTAAGTGATGTTAAGCAGGACCATCCAAGGGTGTGTAAGATACCCACAAACCACCATCAGACAAAGAAGAAAGTAAAAGTCCCTCAGGGAGGTGCAAAATAAACCTCACCTAGAGGGAGAAGAAATCTGAAATGTGTTATAAAACACATTATCTGAAAACACCACACTTTGAAGAGAAAAACAACTTTGCTAGTTCTTGGTACTTCTTGCTGAGCTATCTGCCAGATTATCTACCTACTCCAGCCTAGAGTCATTGGCATCTCCCCAGTTACCACATGTTCCCATTACCAGGGAATGGAGAGAGCTGATGGTGGCAACTAATCTGTGCAGGACTCTGAAATGGGCCAGACTGTGCAGTCAACCAATGAATTTTCTCAGAGCCCTACAGGGTAAGCAGGTTGGGGGAAGGGTGGTATAGAAGGCTTTTGATATTGTTTTCGCACTTATTTATTTATTTTGTGTATCCGTGTATATGTACGTGTGTGGACATGCATGCCACAGCACACTCATGTAGATCAAAGGACAATTTGGGGAAGTTGGTTATCCTTCCATCACACATGTAGGTTCTGGGTATTAAACTCAGATAATCAGGCTTGGTGGCAGGGGCCTTTAACCACTAAGCCATTTGCCTTCTCACCCGTGTGTGTGTGTGTGTGTGTGTGTGTGTGTGTGTGTGCGCGCGCACGCGCACACGCGCGCGTGAACCCACAGGTCTGACCCAGGTAGAGCATGAACTCTCTCAGTGCACTGTGGTATTTCAATGATCCTCACAGTACAAAGAGTGAACACTGAGTTCTCTGACTTGTCCAAACCAGCTCACTAAGATTTTAACATCTCCCTGCTAATCAATTATTTCCAAATTATAATGGCATTACACAGCTGTCAGAGAATGTGCAATTTGGGGCCATTTGTCCCTTTGAACCCAAGCATCTATTTAAAACTATGCTTATTTACGACAAAGAAAAAATTGCATGTATACACATTTATTGATTAGCTCTGAAGGTGAGATGCCTTTTCAAGGACATAGCTTTGAAAACGTTTCAATTGAAATTCGTTGCCCAGGGTGGACAGTGGCACATGCCTGTAATCCTAGCATTCTCATTATCTCCAAATGAACTGCTTAGCCTTGTGTTTCCCCACCTGGAAAGTGGGTCTAACAATAGCGCCATATCCTAAAGCGAAGGAGAGGCGGTGCTATTGTCTACATAGATGGCTAAGCGCAGTGCTTGGCACAGAGTAAATGTTCAGTAAATGGATTTCATTATTTGGATGTAAGCCTCTAGTGTCTCCAGAACGCAAGTCGTTCAGTGACCACAGAAAGCTTTCCCCAGAGTCGCTGCCAACTCTTTAAGAATATCTCTACCTACAGCTCAACAGAGCACAGTGACATCAGCCACCTGCTTCCCTGGACCGCAGCTCCAGAGGTGGCCATGTCGCCTCGCTCAGGCCCCAAAACAGGGCAGACGCTGTCTCCGGTTCGCAACAGCACAAAACTTAACCCAGCTTTCTCACTTGAGTGAACTCCGATTGGAGGCGGCCAGGTTAGGTGGGCACGGATCCCGATCTGAAGGAATGTGGGCACCGAGCCAGGAAGGGCAACACTTCCACCTGCCAAGCGCCAGGTTGGGAAGCGCTTCTCCACTGCATCCACGGTGACTCCCACCCTGTCACAGGGAAATGAGGGACCTATCTCAAAATGCCAATCGGATGAATTCCCCGCGTATCCTCTGAAAAGCCATCATTGCCACGGTTTCGAAGGGTGGGTGGGGGAGCACCCAGGTGAAACGCGACCTCCTGAGTGCTTTGGGAGCGCTCCCGGCTCCGCAGACACGTGCGCTTGGGTGGCCAGCGGGTCCTGCCTGGGTCCCCACCACCCAGGCCCGCCCAGCACGCCGCACTCACCAGGTGAAGAGTTTGCCTCGGATCCTGCTCAGTTGGCGGCCGATACTGCTCACCGTACCTAGCGCCTGGGGCTCGCTGGCCCCCGCGCTCGCTGGCGATTCAGCCTCCATGGGGTACCTACGAGCCTCGCGTGCCCGGAACCCCGAGAAGTGCTCGGGCCCGGAAGACAGGAGGCGGTGCCTGTGAGGACGGCGCGCGGACTCGGCTCGCGCCCTGACTTGCTCTCCTGCTGAGCTCGCTAGCACGCTCGCCAGAGTCCCGGTACTCCTCCGCCCCGATCGTGCGACAAATCATTAACTGTCCAGCCCTTAGGGCCAGACAATGCTTTTGCAGATCACCACCTGCCACCTTTGAGAAGCTGGAGGAGAAAGGGCGGGTTTGTTTTCTCCGCTGGTGTCAGAGCTGAGTAGGATATAACGTAAATTTAAGATGAGGGGGTTGGGCTTCTTCCTCCCCCACCTCCCTGTGGGTGGAGTTGATTTGGTTAGTTTGTTTGACCTAAGGTCTCACTCTGTACCCGCCCCTCCCCCCCCCCCCCCCCGCCCACCCACCCACTATCCTGGAACTCAAGATTTGGCCGAGGCTAACATCTAACTCTCAGCAGTCCTCCTGCCTCAGCTTCCAGAAACCTGGGAGTTACAGGTCGGCGCTACCACGCCCAATGCGTTTCAGGATTTTATGGTTCCATATTTGAAATCAGCAAACTATAGTTAACCCGATAAGAGGTGATCTTGGCCGGTTCCCAGGATGCCCGTACAGGCAGCAAGTTGGTGCCCTCCTGAACTTTGCTAATTGGAAGAACCCACTGACCCCGCCTCTGTGTCCAAGTCTCCCTCCTTCTCCCTAAAAGAACTGAAGAAAAGCTATGGTTTCTTGAGGGAAATGTGTCTTTGTGGTGCGGGTTAGGCAAGCCTCCTTGCCTTGCAGACGCGTTAGGTTGCCTTGTCACCCTCAGCGCTGCCCTGACCTTGACCCGGGCCACGCTTTCTGATGCTTGGATGGACTTAGAGGGATGGCAAGAGGGAATAAAAAGCGTAATGGGAAAGTTCTGGTTCTTGCTGACAGAAGTAAGTCTGTAGTGCTGATTAAGCATTTTTTTTTTTCCCTGAAAGAGACCAGGCAGACAAAAGAAAAGGTATTGGTACTGATCCCCGCCCCCTCACTCACGCTGACCCCCAACCCCCTCCTTTAGTGGATAGAGGAACACAGTAAACAGCAAATTCCAGAAGACTGTGTGTGGATGCAAAAGAGCAGGTGGTTTTGTAGGAGACACTAAGAAAACCCAGGTTTTTAACTAGCTGGTAACTCACACCTTTAATCACAGCTCCTAGGAGGCTGAAGCAGGAGTATTGCCTTAAGTTTGAGGTTAGCCTAGAATAGTGTGAGTTCTAGGTTAGCCTGAGCTAAAATGAGATCCTGCTTCAAAAATGAGATCCTGTTTCAAAAATGCAAAGTGAGGGTAGGGGTGGGTGGCTCAGCCCATAAAGGTACCCGATGCCAGGATTCAAGTCCTGGAACCCACATGGTGGAGGCCGAGAACAGATCCATCCCTACCAAGTTGAACTCCACATTTAGGCAATGGCACACACAAAGACACAATCAATCAGATCAATATAACAAAGAACGTTTATGAAAAGGGGAATAGGTTTTGGAAAATGTACCTAAGTGAGCCTTAAGTTTGTCAACTACAAGCGCTGTAAAGTGTAAATATAATTATTTTCTGTTTATTTATGTCTTTTTGAGACAAAACCTCACTCCATAGACCAAGCTAGCTGAAACCCAACTATATAGCCCAGTCTGGCCTCCAATTTAGGGCAGTCCTTTTGCCTCAGCCTCCTAGGGGCTGAGGCATGCACAATCATGCCTAGCTGAAATGATGGTTAGGATTATTTTTCTAATTTTATGTATTTATTTTGGAGGTTTGTTTGTTTGTTTTGTTTTGAGACAGGGTCTCTCTAAATAGCCCTAGTTGTCCTGGGCCTCACTGTGTAGACCAGGCTAGCTTCAAACCCACAGAAATCTTCCTACTTCTGCCTCCCACGTGCTAGAACTAAAGATGTTCACCTTTGGCTATTTTTTCTAACTTTAAAAGGACTTAATCAAATTTGCATTACAAGTGCTTGAGGAAAAAACAGGATGGATAAGTTGGACATAAAGTCTTCAGGATAAGTTGAGACTGAAATTATTTTTATAATTTTTAAAATAAATATTCTTTTTTTTTTTTTAATTTTTCGAGACAGGGTTTCTCTATGTAGTTCTGGCTGTCCTGGAACTCACTCTGTAGACCAGGCTGGCCTCGAACTCAGAAATCCGCCTGTCTCTGCCTCTCAAGTGCTGGGATTAAAGGTGTGCGCCACCACCGCCCAGCTAAAATAAATATTCTTATTAAAATATAATAAAATAAGTGTTGTAGTAATTGCTGAGGGTAAAGGTCAATAGTAGAGTACTCAGTCAGTGTGCTTAAGGGCCTGGATTCATCTCTAGACTTACAAAGACATAATTGCATAGATACATTTACTTAGACGGGCAGATCTGTCTGCTTTGATAAATAGTCCGAGATAGAGAGTGAAACTCATGACTAGATGACCAAAGAAGACTGTCTGAACATTAGGGAACAACTTGGCGAAGCCTTCTTGGCTTCGGAGCACCCGAAGCACCCGTGGCGGCTTGGGGTGTGGCTCAGGTGAGAGAGTGTTTACCCAGCATGTGTGAGGACCTGGGTTCAAAGTGAAGAGAAGCAAGTCCCACACGCCTGTAACCCCAGCACCTGAGGAGGCAGAAGAAGTTCAAAGTCATCCTCAGCTACCTGGAGGGTTCACATCAGTCTGAGGTACACAAGACCCTGTCTCAGGAGGGTGAGGAGAACGCATAAACAATATCCATTAAAGTCTACAGATGGACAATGTGGAATTTTTGGACATTGTGGCCTAGGCCTTTAATCTCAGTACTCGGAAGGCACAGGGAGGTGGATCTCTCTGAGGTGGTGCCAGCCTGGTCTACATAGTGAGTTCTAAGATAGCCAGAGAGCAACACAGAGAAACCTTCTCTAAAAGAAAAAGGGAAAGGAAAAGGACAATGTGGTAGTTTTCACATGAACCCTGTTTTCATCTGTGTTCTTGACACAGCACAAACGCCTCCCTCAGGTGATTATGTAAGACTGACAATCCCTCAGATCCCCACTCTTTGCTTCATGAAACTGAACAACCCATTCTCACTGACTAATCAGAACAAAATTCGTATTAACCAAGTTTTAATTAATTGACGGGGTTGTTGGTGGTGGCAGAGGTGGTGGTTGGTTGGTTGGTTGGTTGGTTGGGTTGGGTTGGTTTTCTCTGTACTGTAGTCATAGCTATCCAGTAACTCTGTAGATCAGGCTAGCCTGGGACTCAGAGATCTGGCTGCCTCTGCCTCCTGAGTCACCAGTGGGATTAAAGGCATGTGCCACCATCACCAGGCTGTGGTTGTTTTGTTTTTAATTTATTTAAAAAGTATGTTTCCCAGGCTGGCCTAGGAATCATGATCCTCCTGCCTCATCCTCCCAAGAGCTGTACTTATGCAATTATCAGCACACCTAGCTTTAACCAAGTTGAATTTTGCCTTCTAGCCCCAGGCCTCTGAACTTTCACCCTCTATGAGTCAGCATTCCAGAAGAGTCACTCCTAAAAATAGGCCACTTTCAGCTAAAACCTTCTCTGTCAGTCAAACCAACTCCATGAAGTCTTGGGATTGAGAGGGGGGAGAGGAGTAGGGAGAGGGAGGGGGAGGGGAGGGGGAGAGGGGGACAGAGAGATAAATAGAGAGAGAGGAGACCGGTAAAAGCTCGGCATGGCAGTTTATGCTTATAATCCCAGAACTTGGGTAATGGGGGCAGAGGAGCAAAAGTTCAAGGCCATCCTCTGCTCTATAGGAAGCTTGAGGACAGCCTGAATTACGGAAATATGTTCCAGACAAACAATAAATAAGATGGGTTTGGTGTGGCACCTATAACCCCAGGATTTAAGAGATCAAGGCAGAAAGATTGTCTAAATTTGGGAACAGTCTTTTACTTATGAGTTCCAAGCCAGTCTAGCCTGCAGCATCTCTGTCCTTCAGATAGGAAATGGGCAACAGCAAGCGTGTATCATTGTTCTTTAGTGTGTGCTAGGATTAAAAGTTTCAATGCAGCTGGTCATGGTGGTGCAAGCCTTTTATCCCAGCACTCAGGGGCAGAGGCTCGCAAGTCTTGTAAGTTGTAGCCCATCCTACAAGAAATTCAAATATGGTGAGTTCCAGGACAGCCAGAGCTACATACTGAGACCCTGCCTCAAAACAGACAAAGGAAAAACCAAGAGATATGGGGCTAGAGAGATGATGGCTCAGTGTTTTAGGGTACCAGCTCCTCTCCCAGAGGACCTAAGTTTAATTTCCAGCACCCACAAGTCAATTCACAGCTATCTGTAACTGCAGTCCCAGGCTATCCAAGGGTACCAATCACTCACTTAGTACATAGACACATATGCAGATAAAATACCACATATATAAAATTTTAAGTAAAAAATATCTTTTAAGAAAAAATTTCAGAGTGCCAGGCTGGATGGTGTCTCCAACCCCCAAATACAGGCTGAATCTGTAGAACTGTGGGAGGTTGTCTTCCATAGCAATAGAGATTTTGTGGGTCTAATGAAGGGCTGCATCCTGAGATGGAAAAGTGATCCTGGATTATCCAGTGGACCATAAAGGAAGTGTCCTCACAGAGGGAAGCAGGGGGAGATTGTCACCAGAAGAAATTACATAAGGGGACCAGGGGTGATATACTTTAGAGACAGAGGAAAGTATGTCTACAAGCCACACAGGTGGCTGCTACAAGCTCAGAAACTCCAGAAGCAGCATCCTTGACAACTTTAGTCTTCATTGTAATATGGTAAAACTGATCTTGAACCTCTGACCTCCAGAACATCGAAGGAATAAATAAATTTGCCCTACTTTAAGCTACAAATCGATGACAACTTACGACAGCAGCCAGGAGACATAGGCTACTTTGTAAAGATTGTGACCTGCTGTCAAGTGAAACAAGCAAGCTTCAGAGAACCGGTGCAACATGATTCCATTAACAAAAGCCACCAACAAAATCACTATCTTTGTATCTTTGTATCTTT